GGTATCGGGCCCGTATTTTGGTTCCGGAGACCGGTACAGGCTTAATATAATATTTACGTCATATCTGTGAAATTTGGTAAGAATCAAAGTTGGTTTGGTATAAATCGAACCCTTGGCTGAGAAAATAGAAATTTGAACTATCTTGTGAAATTCATGAGTTTTGGTGTTAAATCCGTTGTTTGAGATGTTATTTTGGCGATTTGATCGCACGAACAAGTCCGTATGATATTTTTAGACTTGTGTGCATGTTTGGTTTGGAGCCCTGAGGGCTCGGGTGAGTTTTGGATAGGCCACAGAGTAATTTTGGACTAAGGGAGATTGCTGGTATGTTTCAGCTGTGTAGCAGGCCCCTGATCGCACAATTGCGAGATCAGGCATCGCAATTGCGATGTAAGCAGTGACCACAAATGCGAGATTTTGCTTCGCAAATGCGAAAAAGGTCAGGGCCAGCTTTTCTCGCAAATACGAGATTTACTTCGCATATGCGAAGGTTGTCCAGGTAGGCTAGAAGTTGCAAATGCGGCATAATTGTCGCAAATGCGAAGGCAGCAGAGATTGCGAAGCTTCGCATTTGTGATGCCCTTCTCGCAATTGCGAGCTTTGCAAATGCGAAGCTCCAGTCGCAATTGCTACATCTGCAGCTGATGAAAACATCATTTGGACGGGATTTTCACTTCACTTCTCAAATTTTCAAACCCTAAACTCCCATAGGCGATTTGCTTGAAGAGAGTTCTTCCCAAATCATAGGTAAACGATTTCTAGCTCATTTTCTTCAATCTATTTCATCTTTTTACATGATTTCACTTCAAAATGTAGGGTTTTTCATCGGAAATTGGGTGTTCTTGGGTAGAAATTAGGATTTTTGAATTTTGGGGATTTGGACATCCATTTGAGGTCGGACTTCAAAACTAATTGCATATTTGAGTTCGTGGCTGAATTGGTAATTGGATTTTGGTTCGAACTTCGAGTTTCGACCAAGCGGGCCCGGGGTCGGGTTTTGACTTTTTGGGGAAAACATTGGAAAATTCATATTCATGCATTGGAAGTGGTTTAATTAGCATTTATTGGTGTTGTTGAATTAATTATGGCTGGATATGAGTGAATTGGTGGTGGAATCAAGAGGTAAAGCGGTGGTCGAGTGTTGAATTGTCCGTTGGCTTGAGGTAAGTGTTTGGTTTAACCTTGACTTAAGGGAATAGGAATTCCCGAACTTATGTGCTAAATGAAATATCATGTGTGTGGCGTATAGGTGTGGTGACGAGTACCTATGCGCCACCAAATTTCCATTTTTAGTTTGTTCCCTTCCCCGTTTCCTAGTATACTGCTTCTTGTCTTATTTGCTACTTGCTTAAACTGTTTCCATGCCTTAATTGCTACTTGCTCTTAAATGCTTCCATGCCTAATTGCTTCAGATTAACTGTTGCCCTTTATTATTTAATTGTTTCATGTTAATTGTTGATGTTCCCATTGAGGTATTATTGGTTTCGTAACTTCATTTTATTACCCCGTTGGCCTATATGGATTCATTGGTGCCTTATGGTGCACATTGGTTGGTCTCGCTGATTTGTTTTCATAAGTGAAGTTTTTTAATCGTGGCGATGTTCCATTATGTAGTTGAAGTATAAGAATTGTGGAAAGTGAGTTAACTTGTGAAACACCTTGTATTTATTCTTTGTGATTGATGTTGATATATACATATGTTGGGATCGGGTTGCACGTCGCAACAGGAGGAATAAGGGAGAATTGTGATTATCTGGTGGGATCGGGTTGCACGCCGCAACAAGGAGTAATAAGGGTGGACAGGTGGGATCGGGTTGTGCGCCGCAACAGGAGGAATAAGGGTGATATGTGTTGAGGAGTAATAAGGGAGGACAGGTGGGTTCGGGTTGCACGCCGCAACAAGGAGGAATAAGGGAGAATATTGATACTGTTATTGTCGGAAATATTGATATTGTTATTGTTTATATGGTGGGATCGAGATGCACGCCGCATCAGTTATTATTTTTGGCATTTATTTCTGTTGAAGTTATTATTGAGGTGTTGAAATTCCCTAAGGATTGGTTATAGCTGAATACTAGTAGACTGGTTGGGTCCTCTGTTCCTTTAATGCAAGTTCCGGTTATTTTTTTTCATTCCGTACTTCTTTTCTGTTTATTATAAACTGTTGCAGGTTATATATATTGTTATGCCCCGCCGTAGCCTCGTCGCTACTTCGTCGAGGTTAGGCTCGGCACTTACCAGTACATGGGGTCGGTTGTACTGATGCTACACTCTGCACTTCTTGTGCAGATTACGGAGCTAGTGGCGGACCGTAGTTCGAGGTTGCTGCCTTCAGACCAGTGGAGATCCGAGGTAGTCCTGTAGGCATCCGCAGGCCTTGGCATCCCCTTCTATCCTGTCTTTCTTTTCTGTTTTATTTATTTCCGAAACAGATGTGTACTTCTTTGTCCAGGCTATTATGTGTAGTATTCGTAGATGGTCCCTGAAATTGTAACACCAGTTCTGGGTGGAGTTTAATTATGGTTTTGCAGTTGTGTTAAAATAACTTGTTAAATTTTGTTCTTTCATTTTATTTCGCTGATTTACTTATGTTAACTTGTTAATTGTTAAAAGATAAAAGAAAAAGACGAAATAATTTGTAACGTTGGCTTGCCTAGTGAGTACAATGTTAGGCGCCATCACGATCCCGACGGTGGGGAATTTAGGTCGTGACAATATCAAGAGAAGTCAAATTTTTTTTCATGTTATACTCATAGACTCATAGTATTTATTACTCATTTCAAATTATTTTTTCAAATCCAATAAAATATGCATAAATTAATATGGGTAAAATATGCATCAATTAATATGGTAAATTATACACTCCATTTATTATTTCTTAAGGGGCGTGAAAAGTTAAAACGTGCCAAGTATAAGTGAACAGAGGAAGTATATTTTTTGTGAGTTCTATCTATTTAATTGTCCTGGCATTCTTTAAAATTGAATAAGATAAAATTTAACTTATTTTCCTTTTCAAAAGTGCTAACTTAATAATTCATATAAGGCCATACTGAAAATAATTATTGCCGTCATCTCTACTCCTTTCGGAGACTTTTCTTGTATGAATTAGCTAAAAGAGTGGTATCTTTGATATCCTTGTCTCCCGAACAATCTCAGTGCATATGCCGCAAGACGATTCCATATATCGAGGTCGGAATGGGATCGGGTGTTTGCTAATCTGAATTCGTAACCCGCCATCTTTGGGCAGGAGTCGTCAGATCTTGCCCAGGCAATGGAGCGATCGACACTCGCTCGCAAGTTTTAAGAAGTGGTAAGCGATGCATGAAATCATCAACTCTCTTTTTTTGTAACAAGAATTAATCGTGTCTAATATATCATTTTTCTATTTTCAGTTCTAAAACATTACGTGCGAGGCACGTACATAGAAAGATTATAATGCATCTCCTATAAATACTATTTAATTATGTTAGTCAAAATCAAGAGGATACAATTATCGTCATAATAAAAAGTATTCCAACCCAACGTTAAGAAATTTGCTAATTATCATTGTATTATCAATGTTTTCTACATAAGCACAATTTATTGGTACGACAAACCTCCTCCAATAGATTTAGATCCTTTGCATGTTATATGCTAGACAATATATAACTTTGGTGCATCGAATGTGATTATTCATGAATCCATCTTCTGCAAAGATAGTTTTATGCCCATGTATCAATTAGACGAAGCAAAGAACCGCCTAAACAAATAGTAACCAATGATAACATAATTGCCAAATACATAAAGGAAAATAAATTCTTTCATTACCTTAGAGGTCAATGTTTGTGAAATTCAACCAAGTGTTGTAGCGGACAATCTCTCAATCTATTTTGTATGATCTGTTATTTTGATTTATCGAACTTTTTGCTGGCATCTAAAACCTTCGCATCAAATTTAAGAGGAAGACAAGGCGAAAAGTAAGTGAATTGAATTCAATCTCACAGGCACATGATGAACAAAAAGTATCGATAAAAGATAACAACAAAAGCCTAATTTAATAACTGTAGCTATAAATATAAAATAAAATATAGTTTAGATGAAATTTTTCATGCGAATTGGCTTTGGCATCCATCGCTAGCAGAAACTTATGATATCAAACACCAATTATGCAAATCACGTGTAAACGTTGTAAGCAAAAGGTTTTTATTTATAGAGGATTAAAGTCAGCACTTAATTACAATCAATTACAGTTTAGGTAACCGTGTCTAGTGATGGTAATTTCAAAATCATAGTATGAGAGAAATTCTTAATTTTACACTTTTATCCATTATGAAATTATATAATAAAAGAAAGACTTTAAATTTTTAAGGGCACAAAAATCAGTTGATATTTCGGGGATATTTTAGTCGTACAACATTTAGCATAAATTATTCGTGCTTTTATAATAATAATAATAATAACAATAATAATAATAATAATAATATACATATTATCTTAAGATCGGTTATACAATATCATTTTTCCTATCAAATTCTATGGGTTGAACAAAACAAAACTAAAGGTTTTCACATGGCATACAATTAAATGGATTCTCTACTAATCTAAGATGATCTTTCTTAGACTTAGAATTAACAAGATACAAATCATAAAAATACCAAAAAGAATGAAAGGTTGTTAGGCTGTCATAGTATTTTTTTTTTTTTTTTTTTTTTTTTTTTGGATTTTTGAGGACAAGATCTTTGGAAAATTATCACTAATTAGTGCTATTTTTCTTGTAAGAGTTATAGATGCTGCTTTTTGTAGTGAGGGTTAAGTGTTTGCTTCTACTCTTGGCTTTGTTACCATTGACTGTAAGGAATAATGAGTAAAATTACATAATTAATTGTTGAAAGAAGCCTCTCCAAATATCTATTAGCAAATCAGTCTCAAGTTTGCCTATATATATATTGAGAGATGAGTGCATGAGTTCATATCCAATATCAAGTTTTTCCACAAAATTTAGCTGCCCAAATTCCTTACCAATGGAATCATCTAAAATTCAACAATTTCTAGAAGGCAAAACTATTTTCATTACGGGTGCCACTGGTTTCCTTGCAAAAAGTATTTCCTCTCTAGCTATTTTATTATCTATTTTTTTTACACCACCACTGTAATTTAATTCGTTATAGTATATTATTTACTATTTATTTTAGGTTACCAATTACCTTTTAAATGCAGTTTTGGTGGAGAAGATACTTCGGGTTCAACCAAACATGAAAAAGTTATACCTTCTAGTAAGAGCTTCCGACACCAAATCAGCCAAGAAACGTTTTTACGAAGAGGTAAAACATAGTACGTACTTTTTTTATAATAAAAACAGTTACTTGCTTCGTCCATTTTAGTTGAACAAGACTATAAGGAAAAATGTTGTACTACAACCTGCATTTGTCCTTTATTAAGTGTCAAAAGAGTGTCTACTTTTTTAAAATAGAAGTTTGGTTTTCCCTCTACATTCATGCAATACTTTTTTTTCGTTATTTTGGTTTTTATTATTAAAGGGACCTTGTGCATGAAATTTATCAAAATATATCCTTTTTAATTTCTTCAAAATTAAATTAAACTCTAATTTTAGTTTTCTAGTATCAGTAACAAAGCCAATCAAGATAACCATGTTAGAGTTACCTAACCTAAATAACTGTAAACTTTGGGTGGTATCTGTAAATATTGCTCTTTTTGCGACTTGTATTTAATGAATGTTAGCCATTTTCTTTTTTATTGTTAGCAAAAATGGTTTAGGCTATTTGTTATTTATTGTAGAGCAACACAGTAATATTTTTGCAAGTTTTTACACAGGTTATGCAGACTGAATTGTTTAAGGTTCTAAGAGAAAAGATAGGTGCAAAAAACCTAAACTCTCTCGTAGAAGAGAAGGTATTTCCAGTTGCTGGTGATATTTCATTTGAGGATTTTGGAATTGAAAATTCGGAGATAAAAGATGAAATGTTCAAAGAAATCGACATAATTATAAACTCAGCTGCAACTACTAGATTTGATGAGAGGTATGATTGTAAAAATATTAATAAAGTATTTTGATGCAAGACATTTGATTTAATTCCCTATATAACATCGATAGCAATAGTTATTTTTTCAGTTTGTCAGTCCTCGATTATAAGTTATTATTGACCATTACTAGTTTCCTTTTTTTTTTTTTGTGGATATGATATTGCCATGAATATCAATGTCCTAGGTACCGTCAACGTCCTCAAGTTTGGTAAAAGATGTGAAAAAGTGAAGATTATTGTTCACGTATCCACTGGTCAGTTTTTAGAAAAACAAACGTGTGATTCTTTTTTCATCTACTATATATTATAGTATTATTGTTATTGCTAAGGTTCTTAAAAATCTTGTCTTATTGATTAGTTAGTTCGATGTCTTTGTCACAGCTTATGTTTGTGGGGAAGGGGAAGGAGTTATATCAGAGAAATCATTCATTTTGGGTGAGACACTCAACAAAAACTCCTACTTAGACATTGATGTGGAGAGGAAGGTGATAGAAGACAAACTTAAGGAACTTGAAGCTCAAAATTTGACATCAAAGGAAGTGATGATAGCCATGAAAGACCTTGGCATTCAAAGGTTAGAAAAGGTCTAATTCATTTAGTGTCATTGAGATAATATATCTTTGTTATTGAACCGACGAGAGTACCTATTGGAAACAGCCTTTCCACCTATTCAGTATAGGGGTAAGGTCTGCGTATCACACTATCCTCCCCAGACTTGACTTGTAGGGTCACACTGGATTTTCTGTTATTGTTATTGTTGTTGCTGAACCGATAAAGTCAATCATTATTTTCTTGATTTAAGTAATCTAATTACGTAAGCATTTTCTATACCGTCAGTGCATAGAAATTACGCACAATATTGCTTTTTTAACATTAACGTGGCATATATTGATCATTATATTAGGGCAACTTTGCATGGGTGGCCAAACACATATTCCTTCACAAAGGCAATGGGAGAGATGCTTTTAGGACATTTGAAAGAGAATTTACAACTTGTTATAATACGTCCAACAATTATCACTAGCACTTATATAGAGCCATTTCCAGGGTGGATTGAAGGAGTCAAGTAAGTTTGTGAATTGATATTCCTTTTTTTTGCTTGTAAAGTTCATTGCATTTTTTCACTACCAAGAGTAATTCGACGAACTAAATATTTTACTCAAGTTCTTGAGATAAAAGTCTTCATTATTTTCAACATGGCTTCTTTCACTAGTTTTTTTTAGCTGGGGGTCTATCGAAAACAGTTAGTAGGTTTGCATACACATTACCCTCCTTAGATCCCACACTGTAAGAATATCCTGGGCATATTATTGTTGTTGTTCTTGTGTTCTTGAGATAAAATAAAGCACAGGAAATAAAGAAGTGATTCATATCTCTTATATATTTAAAAAATACTAACTTTTATTGGCAACTGCAGAACAGTGGATTCATTTATCTTGGGATATGGTAAAGGCATATTGAATTTCTGCTTTGGTGACCCAAACACAAAAGTAGACGCGGTATGTATTAATTCACTACGCTGGTTCATTTTTCAAAAGTTTTTTCTTTTAAAATCATTATAAAGAAATTATTTATAACTTTTTTTTACCAACTACAAATGAGGTCTGCCTAATTTTTTAACCTCTTTAATTTATTACAGATTCCAGGTGATATGGTGGTAAACTCCATACTTGCAGCAATTATAGCACATGGAAAGCAATATTATTCTTCTCAAGAATCAATATATCACATTAGCTCTTCCGAAAAAAATCCCCTAAAATCTTGTGATATTCAATTGTTTCTGTTTCATTACTTCACCAAAAATCCATGGATCAACAAAGATGGGAACATCGTCAAAGTGGGAACGCCTCTGCTATTTAGCAGCATGGATAGCTTTCAAAATTACATTTCAACCTATTATTGGCCATTGTTAAAGGTTTTTCTCTCTTCAATATAAAATTTTATTTTCATCTTTGATATAAATTTTAATGGTGAAGTTACACAGCCAAAAATAATTAAATTCTCTAGCAAAATATACAAACAATTATATTATATTATATGTATATTATATATAAATATATATTAAAAAAATTGGTAATTATTTTTTAGAGCGGCTATATTGTGTAGTTAATTTATATTATAGCCACGCATACTCTTGCAGGTAGACGTAAATCATTTCATTTTCCGTCGACTTTGACGGACCTCTGACATTGAGTTGATGGTTTTCGCGCGTGAAAGTACTTCGAAAAAAAATCAAAACTTATCCCCTTACTTTTGACTACTATTATTTAGTATTACTTTGTGTTATACTTCAAGTTGCGTCTATTAGGATCAAGGGAAAAAACCAGACAATTTGCTGCCCCCATAATATAATGAAAGTTAACGTTAAGATATTTTGTATAGTAAAGGAGTATTTTTGATAGGAATTTATAGTTAGTAATTAGTAGAGTTATTATCAATGTCCTAAGCAAATTATAATTTGTTATGGTTAAAACAGTATTTTACATGTGTGCCTAACAGGCTAACACTCTTTAATGTCGATGTACACATTCAATGACAGTAACTTGTGGTTTAATATGTTTTTAGATACTAGAGTTGGCAAATCTATTATCATGGCGGCGTTTTGACAAAACCTACAAAAATTTGGAAAGGAAGATTGATATGGCTATACGTCTAGCTGAACTCTACAAACCTTACTTGCTTTTCCACGGCAGGTATGTGAATGTTTATATTTTGTATTTCTTCCCAATTATTTTTTAGTAGCTCAAGCATCATTTAGTCAACTCGCGTTGCGACTAATTAAAAGTACTTTAATTATTTCTAAACTTAAAATTTTCAGCTTTGATGATGTTAATACCGAGAGGTTGAGAATGGCAATGAAAGAATGCAACATGGATGATGTGCTCAGCTTTGATCCAAGATGCATTAAATGGGAAGATTACTTTATGAATACTCATCTCCCAGGAGCTGTAAAGCGCATATTCTAGGATTAATATACAAGATTCATGTGTTAAACGACGACTTTCTCTTGAATTCTCAATAAAACTTCTGTCATATCTTCTGCATATGACAAGATATGGGTGTTGTATGTGCAATATATACTTTTTAAAATACGAGTATTTTTCGATTAGTTTCATTCATGTAAAAGTTTGGCATGGACACAATTATATAGATCGTTATGTCTATGTATGTGTGATTACTGAATAGTTATCTCCAACATTGTAATGTTGTATATTACTTTATGGGAATGCTAAGCTAATTTGCTCATGCGTGTTTCTATGCCTTTAAAAAAGAATCAAGAAAATCAACCATATTATTTGGTATCCAAGGTACGGAAGTACAATATAAGTTATGGGTTCAGTCGCACAAACTCTTACCTAAAGTGAATTGGGTCAATTCAGGGTTGGATTGGGTTCAAAATTGGTATAAGTTCTTAATTAGTATTCTAACTATTTTTTTTTTAAAATTAAAGTTTTCGCGTTATTAAATCCCACAAAAAAATACAAAATCCGATAAAGATGACCAATGAAAAGTAAAATGACTTTTAAAATACAGAAATAGATAGATGACTTTAATTTAATGACCAATTATCCCAAATTGAATGCCACCTAAGCTATCATCTCCTTAACAAATGTTCTAGTGTCTATTAATAATTACTTATGATAAATTCATATAGTTTAGTGTAGAAATCGGATGGTCACAAATATTTTCTTTCAAAAGTGCACAGTAGTAGCAGCGATATCACACTCTTTTTTTTTTACCTAGCCTCCGAAAATCTCTAAACTCTTTAGTGAAGTTGTAGAAAAATGAGAATAAGGGAAATTCTTTTGAAAAAGTAAACTGACAAAATTAATAATTTTAAATAAGGTTTATATGGTAAGACGTAGCCACCTAACATTGATTTTTTTATTTAGGTGTGATTAGATCACCTATTTAATGAAAACAATTATTTTAAGGGAAAATCCTTTTGAAATCATTTGACTCTTACTAGTAGGGGTGGCAAAATGGTTAAAAGAAAACAGTTAACCACCCATATTATTCACTAAAAAATGGGTTGGATTATGAACTTTTTAAAAACGGGTCAAATATGGTTAAGAACCATATTATCCATTAAAAAATGGATAACAAATGATTAACCAATGAGTCTAACTTATACATTTGTAAAGTCTCAAATTGGGGGTTCCTCAAGTTAGGGAGACTAAGAATTCTCCCAAAAGTGATCATATGCAAGAAGTCATGGATAATATGGTTACCTATATTATCCGCCGGTTAACCCGTTTTTTATCCGTATTAAATATGAGTCAAATCGGATAATTTATCCGTTTTTTCATTACCTATTTTCGATCCGAACTATATTCGCCCCGCCCCGCCCGTTTGTCACTCCTACCTACTAGTGAGCTACCAAAACTCGCAACTAAGGAGGTTCAGTTTACAAAAAAGGCGTTAGATACCCCTCAAATCTCTGCGTTGAACACGGTTGCTCACTTGACCTTAATTGGCTTCAAAATATATGGCTGAGACCACACAAAAGCAAAAACTTGCTAATAAGCAAAACTATTAACAACCGAAAACAAAATAAATTCCTACACTATCCTATCTATGTATTCTGACATTCTTGAATCTTGTCTTTGAACTGCCTCCAAAATGCATTTGATTTCTTCCGAGATATTCCACCCAAAAAAAATGGTACATGAGATTATGAAAGTAAATGTGATGACCCGATAGGTCATCTAGAGCTTTAACTCTTAATTTTTTATTTCGAAACCTTAAATAGCTCCTTTTAGCTTTTCTTGATTTGCGTGCGTAGTCCGTGCCTTTTTCTGAAAAGCTTTTATGTGAAAATTTGACTAAAATGTGAATTCGTGCCTTAAAAACCCATTTGAGTTGACTTCGGTCAACGTTTTGAGCAAACGGATCCTTATTTTGATGGTCTCAATGGGTCTGTACCGTGATTTGGGACTTGGGCGTATGCTCGGAATCAAATTCGGAAGTCCCTAGCTGGAGTTATCGCATTTTGTCGAAAAGTTGAAGTTTAAAGGTTTAAAGACTTTATAACTTTGACCAGTATTTGACTTTATTGATACTGGGTCCGAATTTTGGTTCCGGAACTTGATATAGGTCTATTACGATATTTATGACTTGTCTGCAAAACTTGGTGCAAAACGGAAGTGATTTGATGTGATCCGGACGTCCGGCTGTTAAAATAGAAATTCTTAAGTTTCATTTAAAAATTATTTGATTTGGTGTCCGATTCGTAGTTCAGGTATTATTTTGGTGCTTTGATCGTGCGAGCGAGTTCGTATGAGAATTTTGGACTTGTGTGCATATTTGGTTTGGAGCCCCGAGGGCTCGGTGAGTTTCGTATAGGCTACAGATGGTTTGAACTTAGAAATTGCTGGTTTCCTTAATTACTGCTGTTACATGATGGTTTCTTCTTCGCTATCGCGAAGCTACGCCCGCGATCGCTAAGGGCACACTGGGCTGGGGTGGAATTTTTCTCTATGCGAACGCGCGGCTGAGGACGCGAATGCGAACACGAATCAGTGGTGGGATCACCCATCGCGAACGCGTCCAGCTTTACGCGAACGCGATGACTAAGGGGTCTGGGTGGGGGAGTAGGGGTTGTTTTACGAGACGCGAGCCCAGGCTCGCGAACGCGACGGACAGAGGGGACAGACCATCGCGATCACGTACAACCCTTCCCGAACGCGTAGGCCAATTCGGCCGCTGCCTTTCGCGATCGCGTTAGGCCCTTCGCGAACGTGAAGAAGGTCTGACGCTAGTTATTTAAAACAGTCCAAAAATGGGATTTCTCCCATTTTTCATAAACTCTCCACTAGAGCATGGCCTAGAGGCGATTTTGAAGGGAAAACTCAACACCAATTCATAGGTTTGTGCACTTATAACTCATTCTCTTTCATTTCTAACATCACCCATTAATTTCTAGCCCTAATCTTTGTTCTTCCATTGTAGAAAACCAGGGATTTAGGAAGAATTGTGTTTTTTTTTTAAATTAGGGATTTGGATCTCAATTTGAGTGAGGATTCTGAAGCTAATTACATAATCGGGCTCAAGGACGAATGATTAAACGGGTTTTAGTCCAAACCTCGAGTTTTGACCAAGTGGGCCCGGGGTTGATTTTTTTGACTTTTTGGGGAAAAGTATGGAAATCCTAAATTTATGCATTGTAATTGATTCCATTAGCAATATTTGACATTATTGAGTCAATTATGGTTAGATACGAGTGGTTTGGAGTCGGATTCTAGAGGAAAAGTCCCTAAAGCTCTGAGTTGACTGCAGAGTGAGGTAAGTGTCGTGGTTATCTTTAACTTATGGGATTAGGACTTGTTTTCCTATTTGGTACATGTTTAAATGTTGGGTACAACGTATATGTGAGGTGATGAGTACTTATGCGTTGTTGTTGGGTTGAAGCATGCGGGTGGGGCTTGCTTCTTGTAATTTACCTCCTTCTTTGATCATGATATCCATGCATAGACTAGTTTATTACTAAGTTGATCGTTCTTTCCGCATTTATGGGCTATTTGTGATAATTGAGTATTGTTTTTGAAGTTGAGGTTGGTATTGTGAAACAGTTGTTAATGTAAGGTTTATTCTTGCTTATTCTATCTCCCAGTTGTTATATGTTCATTATTACATGGTAAGGGAGAGCGTTAAAGCACGAAGGGTGATGCCGTACCATATTTATTGTTTCATGATGAAATTGAGAGTAAAGCACTAAGGGTGATGCCGTGCCGTATTTATCATTTTATGGAGAGATTGAGAGTTAAAGCACGAAGGGTGATGCCGTGCTATTATTATTGTTTCATAGTGAGGTTGAGAGTAAAAGCACGAAGGGTGATGCCGTGCAGTTTTTATTCATTATGTTTATTGGTTCATTGGCTGAAGGTTTATTGACTGTTTCATGTTGTCATTTCTTGTTGTAGTTACCGTATTTTGTACTCCCCCTTTCGCATATCCCCTCTCGATAGTACATGTTTAATCTTTATTTGTTGTTATGTTGTACGTATATTTCGTCTGTACAGGTTTAATTATGCGGGTGTCCTGTCATAGCCTCGTCACTATCTCGTCGAGGTTAGGCTCGACACTTACGAAGTACATTGGGTCGGTTGTACTCATACTACACTCTGCTCTTCTTGTGCAGATTTTGGTACTGGTCCCAACTGTCTGTGAGGCGCATTAGCTCGGATTAGCTTATTTGGAGACTCGAGGTAGATCTGTTGGCGTCCGCAGACCTTGAAGTCCCCTTTCCTCTTTCCCTTACCGTTCATTTCACTCGAGACAGTTGTACTTATTTCAAACCCTATTTGTAGAAACTATAGAAGCTCGTGTACTTGTGATTCCAGACCCGGGTTGTACTAGATGATTGTGTTATTATGCTACTTGTTCTTCATTTTAGTTTCATTTCTGTTTAATTGGTTGAATTGTTCGAAGTGTTTAACAATTGGCAAAAGAAATTACTCTAATGTTGGCTTGCCTAGCAAGTGAAATGTTATGCGCCATCACGGTCCCGAAGATGGAAATTCCAGGTCGTGACAGTAAATAAAGGAAAAATTATGCGACACATCAAACATTTGCATTGTATCTATCATTTATAACCATACTTACAGCAAATTTACCATTCGTAGCTATATTTGTATTTTATAGAGCAAATCTATGAAATAAGAGATTAATTGTTTTGAATTGAAATAAGGGATAAACAAGCTCTCGTAACTTTGTTGGTTAGAGCGCCTGCTTAGTTAACGGGGGTCTTGAGTTCGACTCTCAACAAGAATATTTTATCTTTCTATATTTCTGTATTTCGCCTTAGTTGTATTTATTGCGCAAAAAAATATGACTGATATTTGTTGTATCCTTTGTATACACTCCTGTATCATTTGATACATATGTATTCGTTTCACCAACGAATACAATTGCGCGAATGATAATCAAGTGATAGTAAATACGCAGACTGTATTTGCTGCGCATTTGAATACAAGTAATACAAGTTTATAACAATTGAATAGTAAATACGAATGATAATCAGAAAATTATAGTTACTAGCCTCTAAACTATAGTGGTATATGAAAATTCCACGTAAATAAACAAGCAATTAAGTGGGCCTAGCGTCTGCCTATCCAATCTGTGGTCGGCCTAAACGTTACCCCTAACTACCCAAATAAATGAAATAAAGGAATAAAATAATA